GGGGCACATATTTAGGATCTGAAGGGCCACTGGCCGCCCCTCACACTCTGCTGGGGGCTTCGCACTGCCTTGGATTGACACTGGACCCCCAAAGGGTCTACGGTCTACATCGCTTTGCCTGGTGTTGGAAGAGGAAGAAAAGAATTTGGTGGAAATGGATGCCCACTGGCTTGTGTAGGGGGAGGGGTAGGTGGACTCCAAGTTTGTCATGTTGCAAGGTACCTGGGGAATGGTGAGGCGCGTGGGGGCGGAGCTAGAGGCTAGAGGGGAAGCACAAACAAGGCAGTCGGAAGCAAGACGACACCTCGAAGTGGATTTGTCCAAGAAGAATTGGTGACTAAGGCGGGGATGGTCAGGGAGCTCTGATTGGTCACAAGGAGGGATTTGGGGTGGGGCTACCTGCCTCTTGAGGCTTTAAAAGCTCATCGGAGAGTGGGCAGATTCTGTTATTTGCTCTCTGAGGGGAGGTAGCTTTGCCTAAGCTCCTGGTGACTGAGCAGGTGTTTGCTGTTTGGACGGGCTTGGGAGATCTTTATGGTCCTTGGCAGCAACATGGGGCGTACTATGGCAGTCCCCACACCATACGGCTGTATTAGCTGTAGGCTACCACGGCCAGACTACCCACCAGCTGTAATCACCTTTCTGTTCTGCGTAATGGTTATCACCATCATGGTAGATCTGATCGGCAACTTCATGGTCGTTTTGGCTGTGTTGAGGAACAAGAAGCTCCGAAATTCTGGTAAGCCACACTTCCTTCTCCCTACGCACCTTTCAGCCATTCGTAGTCCTTAGGGTGTTAGTTTGGGCGCCCGGAATAGGGGATCAGTGGACAGACCCTCACATTGAATGTCCCTGCTCCCCAATTCCCCGCTAACCTGGGCGGTGATGTGCTGTAAGGGGCTCCAGAAAGTTAGAGCTTCTCCAGGCTGAGGGAACTCAGAAAATTAGCTTTGGGCGGCCAAGTGCAAATCCCGCGTTTCCGCGGTGTGCGGCAGACAGCCAAGCCCTGCCCCGTCGGGGACCTTGATACAGAGGGAGCAGGCACCTGAGCGGAGAGTCCGACAGCCACCCGGGGACAGCAAGCAGAGCCCGATGCCGCAGAGGTGGCCACGCCGAGGCAGCACGGGCGGAATGGACGCAGAGGGAGCAGCGGGGCTGTGACCCGCTCCGGGAAAGTTAGCTGCGGCTGCGGTGGCGCTTGCCAGAGGCACCGCAGAAACCGCGCCAAAGCCAGAAGGAGCCCCGACTCGCCGCGACCCTGGGGCTCCTGGGCTGCTCCCAGGCGGGGAAGCGCAGACCCCAGCTCCTGAGTGTGGAGCAGGGTGGTCTGCGCCCGCCGGAGCCGAGCTCCGTCCGCCCAACCCAGGGCGCACGGTGGAGAGAGGCGAGCGGCTGGCTGGGCGCAGTAGGCGGTGGGAGCGACCACAGCAGCAGCGGAGATCCTGAAGTCCGTAAGCGGGGTACCGAGGGTCGCAGTGCGGGGTGGAGGAGAGAGGTTCAGGAGCTTAGAATCTCAGCGGGGTGATAGAAGACCGCAGAAGCTGTTGAGGATCGTGGGAGGGCTGCAGGAGAGCTCAGGCGCAGCGAGAGGCTCAGAGAGGCTGCAAAGCGTGGGGATCTAGGACTGGATGGGGCTGCGAGCAAGACTCCCCTCTCTGCCAACTAGTACCAAAGTGGCGGGGGGGCGGCTGCGAGCAGGGCTGCGGAGAGGCGCGGGAGGATGCTGAGCGCTGTGATGTGAGCTGAGTGCTGCAGACTCTGCGAAGAGGCGAGCTGCCTCGCAGGTTGGGCGGGAGAGGGCTCAGAGGGGAGGAGGAGGGGCGAAGGGGCCCAAACTCTGCGCTCAGCTGCGGGGAGGTTGGGGGTGGGCAGGTACCGCGCCGAGTGTCTCAGCGCCAGGTTCTTGCTAGAGCCAGAGGGAAGAGGAGGAAAAGCGGCAGGGTCTGAAGGGGGTCAAGTACCCACCTCACCCAGAAAGGCGGGGCGAGGTGGAGGAAGCTGCCAGTCTCTCTAAGCAGTTAACTTTTCCTGGGACGGGGAATCACAAACACCATACGAAGTTTCGAAACGCAATGGAGGGCACACAGTCTATTAAAAGTTTCTTCTAAACGTTGGTGAATGTGTCTGATTTCTCCTTGGTTCCCTGGAGACGTGAGGCCACACACGTGGACCTCCCTTCACTCCAGCAGCTCGGTCCAAAGGGGCGGAATCACTTAGCCCCATGGACACCTGCAAAAGCCATCTTTAATTTTCTTCTTACCTTTCCTTTTCTCCTTCTCCTTCCTTTCCTTCTATAATTCAAATAAAGGTGTTTATGGCTGTTGTAGTTTTGTTTTTTAAGGCTTTGCCCTCTGTCCCGGTTTTCTTCTCCGAATTCATTACTTTATGGGAAACTCTAGAAAGATCCTCTTGGGTAGAAAGCTCCAGGTTAAGGAGGCAGGAGCCATTCCTTTGCCATTTTATTTAATAAGTACCATTTTCTCCTAATCCAAGATGAAGTGCAATATTTTGCCAAACAATGTCAATTAACGAGGTATTTCCTAAGAAAAAGGTCCGTGAGCCTGCAGTTGGCCTCCACCTTTTTATTTTTTTGAAATCTTTTACGAAAATGTTCCTAAGGCCGCCCTACAAAACAGGATTTGGGACAGACCACCCCCCCGCCCCCCGCCTCCTTTGCTTTCCTGTTTAGCAGCTCCAGAATAGCTCAGTGCCAGGGACTGGGCCCTCTGCAGGGCCGCGAAGGTGCGGTGCAGCTCTGCGCCTGGACCTGCACGAAGCAGGCATTTCTGCTAATCCTTGTAGCGTTTTCCAGATTTTTAAAAAAATTCCTGCCCGCAATTTTTTTTTTTTTTGGTCTCAGAATAAGTTTTACAGGGTTTCCTCTCTTCCCCTCATTTTTTACTCTTAGTTTACCTTGGAAATATTAAATATTTACTGGGCTAGGTCTTAGATTATTGTTTTACCCCTCTGGGAAAGATTGCATAAGAAAAGGACACTTCTTTCTCTGTAGACAAGTTTGTGTTATGAATGTAATGCTAGGCTAGAGAAGGCAGAGGTCTAATTTTGGGGTGGGGGTGGGGTGGAGGCTTTCTGACATTCCTCTAATCTCTCCCCTTCCCCCACCCTCCAGCCTGCTTCCTGCAACAGCTTGATCTAGCTCACCTCTACCCTCTCCCTTCTCTTCCCCACTCCACCCCCTGGGAAAAAATTTGCATTTTGTTTTTTTTAAATGGTGGCCCATCTCCCTGTGTGAGTGTGAAGAGCTCCTGAAGAGGGTTTTTTTGTATGCTTTCTGCTTTCTGATGAAATAATATGGGAAAAGGACAGGTCTCCCAAACCTAGCTATGTATCACAATTACCTGGGACGTACTTGTGAATTAAAAAACAAAAAAAAATTATAAATTGTCACGAGGATAGCTGCTCTTTTCTTCCAGCTTAAATTTGTAATTTCCATACTTAACCATTTATTCTTTGTCTTTCTCCCTCTCCCCCCCCCCCCGTGTTTTTCAGGCAACATCTTCGTGGCTAGCCTCTCCCTGGCTGATATGCTCGTGGCCATCTACCCCTACCCTCTCATGCTGTATGCCATGGCCATTGGGGGCTGGGATCTGAGCCAGGTCCAGTGCCAGATGATAGGATTCATCACAGGGCTGAGTGTGGTTGGCTCTATCTTCAATATCATGGCAATTGCCATCAACCGTTACTGCTACATCTGTCACAGCCTCCAGTATGAGCGGATCTTCAGTATGCGCAATACCTTAATTTTTCTGATTATCACCTGGATCATGACTATCCTGGCTGTCCTGCCCAACGTGTACGTTGGCACCATTGAGTTTGATCCTCGTACCTACACCTGCATCTTCAACTATCTGAACAACCCTGTCTTTGCTGTGACCATTGTCTGTATCCACTTCATCCTTCCTCTTCTCATAGTGGGTTTCTGCTATGTGAAGATCTGGATCAAAGTGCTGGCAGCCCGTGACTCAGCTGGGCAGAATCCTGAAAACCAGCTTGCTGAGGTTCGAAATTTTCTAACCATGTTTGTGATCTTCCTCCTCTTTGCAGTGTGCTGGTGCCCTCTCAATGTGCTCACTGTCTTGGCATCTGTCAGTTCAAAAGAGATAGCAAGCAAGATTCCCAACTGGCTTTATCTTGCAGCCTACTTCATAGCCTACTTCAACAGCTGCCTCAATGCTGTGATCTATGGATTCCTCAACGAGAATTTTCGAAGAGAATACATGACTGTCTTCCATGCTATACGGCACCCTATCCTCTTCATCTCTGGCCTCATGACTGATGTGCGTGAGATATGGGAGGCCCGTGCCCGTTCCCAGGTCCGTGCCCGCGCCCGCGCCCGCTCCCGTGCCTGTGCCCATGACCATGACCAAGATCGTTTCCAGGAATGTTCTATGGAGGAAATGCCAATGAACATCCGGAATGTTCCACTACCTGCTGATGGTGCACCTGACCATCCTGAGCTTGACTCTGGCTACCCCAAGCAACTGGCTTCTGGACACTACAGGCCTGCCTCTGCTTACCACAAATACGTCTCTGGTTACCACAAGTCTGTCATTAGCCAGTCTATGCTTGCCCCTGGCCAGCCTAAGTTTGTTCTTGGTCACTGCAGGTCTGCCTCTGGTTACCCCAAGTCTGCTACTATCTACCCTAAGCCTGCCTCTGTCCATTTCAGCATTGACTCCAGCCACCTCAATCCTGTCATTGGCCAGCATATTGCTGCTGGCAACTACTCCAAGAGTACCTTCAGTTCTGCCACTCTCCGCCCTAAACCCATTGGCCACATCAAGCCTGCCATTACTAGTGACCCTGAGCCCTCTACCTCAGGCCACCCTGAGCCCTCTACCTCCGGCCACCCTTTGCCGTCTGCCTCCGGTCACCCTGAACCCTCTGCCTCTGGCCACCCTGAGCCCTCTTCCTCCGGCCACCCTGAGCCCTCTGCCTCCGGCCACCCTGAGCCCTCTGCCTCTGGTCACTCTGAGCCTTCTGCCTCTGGCCACCCTGAGCCCTCTGCCTCCGGCCACCCTGAGCCCTCTGCCTCCGGCCACCCTGAGCCCTCTGCCTCCTGCCACCCTGAGCCCTCTGCCTCTGGTCACCCTGAGCCCTCTGTCTCCGGCCACCCTGACCCCTCTGCCTCTGGCCACCCTGAGACCACTGCTACTGGTCGCCTTGAGTGTGACATCACCAACCTCCCTGAATCTGCCTCCAACCCTGCCACTGGGCCCCCTAAGTCTGCTGCCAGCCCGCTAGAGCCTGCCACTGCCACTGACCCTTTTGAGCCCTCTCTTGACCCTACTTTGGTCACCAATGATTAAGGTTGTGGTTATTGGTGTTGAAGTTAAATCTGATGCAAAGGCTATGTGAAAAGTGCTCTTAGGAGTTGGCCAAGCAGTGGTCCACTTTTAAGTTTATCTAGCATATGTAACCTGAAGTGAGGTATCTCACTGCATCTATACACAGAAAGATACACGTAGACACTCACAGCCATGGTATAAGCTAATTCCATTATTCAGGCAGACTCTTCTACATCATGTACTCTAAAAAATGTGCGTGTGTATGTGTGTGTTTGCTATTTTAGAGATCAAATTTACCTCAAGTTTGACATCTGTAGTTCTGAGCCTCCTTTTCTTCCTATGGTTGACCTTGAGCCCACAGTGATGGTTGAAATTTTAGACTATGATTTTTTTTCCCCACTCACATGTCCCCTTTTCTGCTCTTTACTCATTTCCTCTTTGTTCTTGCTTTCTTCACTCATTCCCTGAGGAAAGAGTAGAGGAAGAGTGGACTATGGTGAAGGCATTCCCTGGTAAGTCTTCTGCAAAGTGAATGTGACTACAGAGCTTTATGTTCCTAAGTGTGTAACTATCTTGTACTCTTAATGGCAGTCAGAAAGGCAGTTGGGATAAAGTGTAAGTCCTTGAAATGACTCCCATCTAAGAAACAATTTGATAAGCTCTTAGTAAAATGAAATGTTATGCCTATGAAATCAAATGGCAAAAGGAAAGATATGGCCATATCAAATTGTTTCTATTTTGTGAAAATTCAAACTGGTGCTGATTTTTATAGTCAAACAAGAATGCAAATGACATGTTTTTACTTTATTTTCACCTTAGTATCTGCCTGAATTTTTTCTCCATTTAGTTTCAAAGAAACCCATTCATAAACTAGTTTCTTCTAAAATTTAAACTTATGGTTACTGGGATCAATTACAATCATGTGCTTTTAATATTATAATTCATAACTACACTTTACCTCAGATTTTTTTAAATAGCCTGACGTTTTTACACAATTTTCACATTTTTCTTTTTCATTCAAAAGGGAATTTGAAGTAATAATTAGCAGCCAGAAGGGAATGAAGTCCTGCCATGGACGTTGTAAATAATGTTTCTCCAAAAACCTTCTCTCCTGCTTTGTCTCTCTGATCCTTCTAGCTGGGGTGGGAGGCGGAGAGGGAGATGCCAACACCAGCCAATCCCACTCCCCTTGGCTGAGGTTCAGTGATCCACAATATTAAGTCGTAGACATCTTGCATCAGCACACTTGACAGCCCAGGAAATGATTTTTCTCTAGAATTAAAAAAAACTTGTTCAATAAAAAAATTCAATTATTGACTCAAATTGACACTTGAAATTTACCATACAAAAAGCTTGCAAGGATACATGGAAATGTATCATACCGCCTTAATTCGATTTTGTATTTGTGGTAGGAATTAAATAAAAGTGTTTTTGTAGCTTTGGTGTGTGATTTGTTAATTTCGCTTCCTCCACCAGACTTGTAGAGAGGATTCAGGGGTGGGTGTAAAAGTATTTACCTTGAGGGATCAGAAGACTTGGGTGCAAGTTCCATCCCTGCTAAGAGATTGCAACACACTAGGGCAAGTCACAAGACCCCTTTGTTTCTTTACATAGCAAACTGGTGAGGGTGGGGTGGGGGTGGTAGAAGGCTCACTGGGTTTTCGTGTGTTTTCACTAGTGCTCTGACAATGGCTGATTTGACCTACCTGCTCTTGGACTTCTGCACCTTGCCTGCAATAGCTTCTAAAAATGGGCCCCTTTATCCCCCATGGAAGAAATTAAGCTAGGCCCAATAATGTCACAACCCCAGAGGCTCCTGGGGCCAAATAACAGAACTCATGAGCCAGTGGGTAAAAGTACTGGAGCAGGAAGCAAAACAGGGCCAGCCTTCTTCAGGAATGCAGCCTCAAAAGGATCTCAATGACAAGGGAATGACCCCAAATAAATTCCATAATAAAACGATTCAAAATAATATGCAGTAAAATATTAATTTTGTTAAGAAAATACATACACTTAAAACATGCACGAAAACATAGACAAAGTTATATACACGTAGTTCTAGCCACTTTTCATGCCAAATTACAGTGGTTCAAGCCCCGACAGAATGACTACGTCAGACTGATTTCCTGTGCAAAATTTCTGCCAAGTATTCCTGGACACTCAAAAGAAGATGCTTACTCATGTGCTTACAAACTGGTCGACAGTCAATACTCCCTCCCATGTTTTCTATGTTCTTCCTCTCTGCCCCCACCCAAAGATCTTTGCTTTGGATGAGATTACAAGGGTTCAAACCCAGGGTGTTGTGTCCCAATACTCCAAAATGCTATTCTCCAGGGCCTCAAGGGGTGCAGTTCTGAGAGGAGACGAAAGTGGTGAGAAAAATTGGCACTTTTTACAACTTTGTTTCACACTTTTGCTCCCAGGTGCCTGAAGTAACACTGCTAATGCCCAGAGTCTCACAGTCTCATGAACACAGCTACTTCAGCCACTGCTTACCTGCAAGCTGCATTCATCATTCCTGCCTGCCCACCTGCGCCCCCATTATCCACCCCTGCAGAAACAAGCAGCAGTTCATGTACAGTGCCTTCTCAGTTTATACATAACCAAAAAACATTGTTCCCTACCCCTCCTTCCCTTATCTACCTCCAAAAGTCGAGAAGCCTCATAAACACATCTCTGATTTACCACACCCACTTTGAGTGACCAAGGCAAGATGCTGAATCTCTGAGATCAAGTTTAAGGTGCTTTGTAGTTCTCCCCAGAAAAAAAAATGCAGGGCTTCTGTTTTTATACTAGTGAGAACAAAAGACCCAGTTTTGCTGACTTCCCCAAAGAGAGAATCTGCCTTCGGGTGCTTAAGTCTTCATATAATCAGGGGATAATAAAAGGCAAGCGACTTTTAAATGACAGTTTCCCCCAGTTTCTACTCTTTTTTCTTTTAAAATGTAAATATATACTATAAAGTTACAGCTTCATGTTTAAGAAATTTCTGATTAATATAATGAATATATTCTCCTAGTTTTTCTTTTAGAAAATTAAATGTTTTGCCTTTATCTATGCTTTACCTTGAATAATTATTTTGTGTTTGGTGTGAGATGAGTCAAGGTTCATTTTTTAACATAATCTAGGTTCATATTTTCATTTAATTACAATTTATTAAAAATACCTTCCTTTGCCCAACTGAATTGCAGTGGAGATTTTGTTGTAAATTAGTTAATCACATAAAAATTATCTATTTCTATCTATCTATCTATTATCTATCTATCTATCCATCCATCCATCCATCCATCCATCCATCCATCTATCTACCTGCCTACCTACCTATCTATATGTTTCTGTACTGTCTATTCTGTTCCGTTAGTCTATTTGTCCAGCTTTGGACCACTGCTGCATCATTTTTTTAAATTTTAATTGACCGTAGTTTATATACAATGTTATACACATGTCAAGTGGACAGCTAAAAGGATTTTTACATATATGCACATTTTTATAAACACATATGCATATATTATATCTGTCTTCTAGATAAAAATATAGAACATTTCTAGAATCCCAAAGGCTCTTTTATGCCAAAATACTTCAGTCAATACCTCCCCCAGAGTTAACAAGTTTAACCTCTATTATTATATCAGTTGTACCCGTTTTTAAATTTCATTAAAAAGAATAACTTAATATGTATGCTTTTGTACACCTGAAACTAATATAAAATAATAGTGAATGTCAACTATAATTGACAAAAATAAATATGCTTTTGAGTATGGGTAATTGTGCCAAACATTGTGACTTTGAGAGGCATTTGTGTTGTTGAGTGTATTAGTGGTTCTTTTTAAAATTTTCTTAGAAGGATTTAATGATGTGGAATATCTTCAACCCATATGAAGTTGAAAAAGCATGCAATGTAATGGTATGTAGTTTTGCCAACAAAACCAAAATGAATATATGAACAGGCACATATGTTTTAATACTTTCTATTGTAAATGTATATATAGTTTTCTTTTATTGAGATACAATTCAGATGCCATAAATTCCATCATTTAAAATTGTTCAAGGCAGTGTTTTTAGTATATTCACAAAGGTGTGCCACCATCACTATAATCTAATTCTTGAATATTTTCATCACACCAAAAGAAACTCTGCTCCCATTACATTCATTTTCCGTTACCGCCTCTCCTGTGACAACCACTAATTTTCATTTGTATTTATGAATTTATTCATGCTGGTCATTTCACATAAATGGACTTATACAATATGTGGCCTTTTGTTTTTGATCTCTTTCATTTAGCATAGTTTTCAAGATGCATCCATGGGGTAACGTTTATCAGAATTTCATTTATTTTTAAGGCTTAATAATATTCTTTTGTATGTATACAGCACATGTTGTTTCTCCATTCATTTATCTGTCAATGAAACTTTGGATTGTTTCCACCTTTTGAATATTGTCATAATACTACTATAAATACTAGTATACAAATATATGTTTGTGGATGTGGGATGCTAATGGTCGAAGAGCCATATGAGCCTAAAGCAAACAGAAGAAAAGAAATAATAAAGATTAGAGCAAAAATCAAGGACATTAAAAACAGGAAATCGATAGATAAAATTAATGAAACTAAAAGCTGGTTTTTTGAAAATATCAAAAAAATTGATGAACTTCTATTTAGGCTAACTAAGAAGTAAAGAGAAATATAAATAAATAAATAAATACATACATACATACATACATACATACATACATACATACATACATACAGCATGGTGACCAAAGTTAACTATACTGTATTGCATATTTGAACATTGCTGAGAGTAAATCTTAACCATCTTCATCACAAGAAAAAAGTTCTTTATAACTATGGATGATGATGAATGTTAGCTAAACTTATCATGGTGATTATTTCACAGTATATACAAATATCCAATTATTATATTGTACACCTGAAACTAATATAATGTTATGTGCCAATTAGCTTAATTTAAAAAAAGAAACGAAGACAAAAGATACAAATTGCTAATATCAGAAATGA